AAGTGAACATTTCAATATGTAAACATTTCTCCCCAGTCCAGTTGATCAAAATGTCTTCTTTTATTTTTTTGGAGAGGTTTTTGCTATAGGGCGCATGCGCTCGCCAGACGGACAGAGACAGACAGAGAGACAGAAAGTGAGAAATCACTTCCCAGTGGGGATGGCTAAGCCTCAATCCCTTCTCCTCCATTCTCCTCTAGGGATCTTGGGCATGCAAACACACGTGCCTGGTGTGAGTTTAAGCCACCGGGTCCAGGACTTGAACCGCGGTCGACTATGTGGGAGTCCAGCAACATAGCCATTACACTAACTGCTGGTCCCAGATCAAAATGTCTTCTTAAAAGTCTTCTAAAATATTGGGGAGACAGTGAGGATAAGAAGAATATAAGCAAATTTTAGTGTAAATTTATTTAAAAGATTAAATCTCAGTATAGCCGTTTTAAATTTAAGGTACTTTTTTTTTTCTGTTTGTAGAATGTTTTTTGTTTAGCAGTCTTAGATTTCACATGTTCAAGTCCTGATTGGACAATTGCTCTTCACCCTGAGCCCTAAAAACCATGAAGGGTGGAGGTAGCCAGTGGTGTGATAGTTAAGGTAGCTGGATCCCACATGACCGACTGTATGGTTCGAATCCTGGACTCAGTGGCTTGAACTACACTCCAGGTGTGTGTATGTGCATGTCCAAAATACCAAAAGGATGGATAAATGGAGAAGGGATTGTGGCTTGACCATTTCCTGGAGTTGCTTTCTGCCTTTCTGTCTCTGTGCCTTTCCAATGAGTGCACATGCACATTGACAAACTTTTTAAAAAATTACAAAATAAAAAAAATCTCTGGAGGAAAGTATATGCTATAATTTAAAAAAAAAAACACACATATTTAATTATTTATTTATTGTATTTTTAATACAATAGGTCTGGAACTCAAACTGTGATCAGCCAGGTGAGAATCCCACTTTTTAACCACCACACCACCTTCTGGCCCCTATTCTATAACTTTTAACTCAGAGCAAAAGAAAATAAAAGTGTTTAGAAGAAAACCTAGGAAAGTATTTTTTAAAAAGAAAATGCAACATATTATAGATAAATTTTGGTTCAATCTGTGCCTAATCCCTATCATAGTCTATCTTAAATTGCTAGAGACATTATTAGTAGTGACTATTGAAGACTCCTCATTACATTTAAAAATTATGATCTTAGAAATGTTATCTTTCAGATGAAGTTAAAACTTAGATGCTATTTGTACTTATTGAAATCCATGACAGCATTTTTCAGTAGATAGTTTGTAGTCCTTTTTGTTTTGAACAAACTTTGACTTGAGTAAATACTAACTGGTACTGTTTTGATTCAGGCTATGGATCCTCTCATTTTTAAGAGGTTTAGTCAACTACCTTATTAAAAGAAAATAGCAACTTTTATTTTGAATATATTAGAAGATTGGAAATGTCATTGTGTCCTTTTTATTATTTTATTTTGATCTTTTGAATTTTGAAAAAAAAATAAAGATGCCAAACACTTTACGTATTAACCAATGAATAGAAAAATCTTGTAAGAGAATTTTGTGTAAGGCATAGCACCCTATAATCACCCCATAAAAATAAGAAATATTTATAAATGCCAGGTTTTTGGTGGTGCAATAAATATAGCAGTGCCTTAAATGAGTTACTTAGCACAACCTCTACAGCAATATATATGTAAGAATCTTAATAAGCTTTATTATTCAATTCTGATATGAATATGAACCTTACAATATTATTGAGAGAGAGGAACAACAAAATTGACTGAGTTGGTTGTAAACCATTCTGTTTCTTGGTTCACACTCAAGAATCAGAGCAAAGCTTTACTGCTTCTCAAAGACAGTTATATAAGTTTATTCATAAGCTATGTTTTATAAACCCGAATATCATAAATCTGTATCAATGACAGCTGTTTATTCTTTCCAGGCTGAAAGGGAGAGTAAAAGTCAAAAGAGGAACACAGTTTATTCCATTGAAAAGAGAAATTTGCCACAAGATTTGTCTCAAAAAGAACATTGATATAACTTTTCCCCCCATAAAAACTAACATACTGAAAAGATTAAATTAAAACCAAATTAACAATTATATCATTAAATAATTCATACCGAGGCGTTATCACAGTAGGTAAAACTGCTACATTAGTGGCCCTGTGCAAAAATAAAATCAATTCTTAGGATATAAACTTGTTTTAACACCTTGAGAATTTAGGCCTAGTTCTTTTATAATGGTTTTATGCCCATAAAAGATAAGAGTTTATAGCACTGTGGTCTTACCTTTACCAAGAAGTTTCCTTCAGGATATCTAAATTGTGAATTCCTTAAAATATTTTTTTAAGGATGTTTGAATTATTTATATCACTTTGCTTCTCTATCCATGTCAAACACTCTAAAGATGTATAAATATCATAAAAATTAAAGACAAACTGTTCTAATTTCAAAAGACTCCCTTACATTAAAATTATATTAAGATAAATGCTTCATTTTAATAGTGAATTTCAAAACATTATATGTATAAAGCACATTAATCCTTCATTAAATCATCAGTAGAATTAGAAAAGAGAGTAAATGAACCCTGAGATTAACCAAATATAAACTCTAGTCCCTAGATACCTGAAGAATGAAGAGTTTGTATTCAGCATAAACATATGGGAAGCACACAGAACTGTAGGAATGCTGTCTGTGTGTGTGTGTTTTGGTAAACGGCAATGAATTCACCAACAAAAAATACAATATTGGCTCCATTTCTCAGCAGTATTCTACAAACACAAACACAAAATGTAACATGTATGTTTAAGCCCTCAAGATAATAAAATTAATTGATAGCATTTGGTGCTGTTCAGCCTATTAATTACCACCTTTATCTAAATCTCTCTTAAATGTCATTACAATTTATGTTTCTACGTGGGACTTCTTGTAAGTTTCCATTGTAAAGTAACACCAAGATGACCTCTGGTTCCATCTTGAGGTTCTCTCTGAAATAAAAAGAAGATGGAGACTTTTGGCCAGAACTGCCAGATTCCAGTAATTAACCAAAATGACAAACACAAAGGAAAAGAGGAGAGGCATCTAACATATATTCCATATGATGTCCAGGCCTTTAAGAAACATAGACTTGTTCCTTTGGAAACATATATATGGGTCTACAGGAAAGGTGATATTGTAGACATTAAGGGAATGGGTACTGTTCAAAAAGGAATGCCCCACAAATGTTACTATGGCAAAATTGGAAGAGCCTACAATGTTCAATCCAGCATGCTGTTGGCATTGTTGGGAACAAACAAGTTAAGGGCAAGATTCTTGCCAAGAGAATTAATGTGCACACTGAGCATATTAAGCATTCTAGGAGCAGAGATAGCTTCCTAAAACGTGTGAAGGAAAATGATCAGAAAAAGAAAGAAGCCAAAGAGAAAGGTACCTGGGTTCAACTAAAGCACCAGCCTGCTCCACCCGGAGAAGCACGCTTTGTGAGAACCAATGGAAAGGAGCCTGAGCCACTGGAACCTATTCCCTATGAATTCATGACATGATGGGTGTTAAAATTAAGCTAATCTGGTCTATAAATAAAATGAAGATGGAAGAAAAATATATTTATTTAACAACAAGAGAAAGGGAAGGATTGAGAGAAGGGAGGCAAGAGGAAGGAAAAAATGAAAGGTTATAATCAAAGATAGTGAGGAATATGAGGAACTGGTTATTTGAAGTAGCAGAGTAGATGAAAGAAGAGGAGGTAAGGACTTACACAAATATTTATGTTTAAAAAACTTTCATGTGATTAATGCTTATTTATTTTATTTATGTTAGAGAGCATGCATGTACGCATTAGAGAAAGGAAGAAAGAGAGAACACAGTTGAAAGGGTCTCTTCACTCCACAACCCCATTTTCTCTTCCATCTCCTCAGGATCACAAACATACTATCCTGTTTTCAAGTCAACCCCGGGATTGGAAACCATAGTCTGCTGCGTGGCTTACAGCAATTCAGTTTAGTTGGCTACTGATCATATCCGGTAGAGCATAATGTAACATTTTGACTAAAACAAACAAATGCTAAGTACTATGACAGAACCCGATATTCACCATACAATTTTTATATTTAAATACATTCAAGGGTTTTTTTATTGTATGCTTTTTTGGTTTTGTTTCATTTTATTTTTTATCTTTTTATTTTTTATTTTATAATTTTTAATTAACATTTCATTGTTATACAGAATCATATTTTTAAAATAGAGCTCACATCAATAACAATGTGAATCGTGTATTTTGATCAGTACTGAAGAAAAAGAAAATTACAGGGTTTTTCGTTTTTACCTTTTCTCACTGCCTAATTTTATCCATAAGTTTAGTGAAGATGATAATGAAAATCAAGTATAACTCCACCATCCCTTCTAACTGTATACATGTGAATTATTGTTGGCACAGTTTTCTTCAGTTTCTTCAACACTTTCCTACTGTTAAAATACTCAAGACCCCCAAGCAGCATGTAAGTTTTATTCATATTATACTTCTTTCCCAAAGACAGTCACATCCTATAACCCCACCTTTCTCCTTTACAGGGTTTTCTGTCATGTTGGGTCGTTGTTTTATACTGTCCTAAAGTTTCCCTCAAGATCTTTCCAAAATAGAGAATAAATAGAATTTTATTTTTAAAATCTTATTTTGTATTTATGTTGCTTTATATTTATACACAGAGCCACTTTTCTAAACCAAATAAGAACATAGTATTATTAATTTCATTTAAAATTTATGTATTCATTTCCTCCATGGGTGAGAGAGGAGAGAGAGAAAGAGACAGCTCATTCCAACAGGGCCTTGACACCATCTAGTAAGTAAGCAAAGTCCCTTCAAAGAGGTCCCAGACTCAAACCACGAACTCTCCCATGTAATTGCCCAGCAAGCATTGCATTTTACACTGTAACATTGCCTGGCCCTCAGGCAATGTTATTTTTAAAAGAGGTTTTGGAATAGACTTTTATTCAATAAGCACTTACTTGGGTTTTCTGTATGTGGTATTCTGGGATAGGTTGTCTGAGAGATCCTGAAATGAAGAAGATGGATTTCCTGATTTTTAAGTAGCTTATAGTCATGAGACAGAGGAGGAAATGTACAGACTAATGCAAATTTTATATACTATAATATTGAGAAGGAAAAACTGATCTCACTCAGGATGACCAGAGCATTAAGAGAGTGGGTGTTGGAGGCCAGCAGGTGGCATGGTGGTGAAAAGCGCTGGGTTCCTACAAAGCCAACAGTGGTTAGAGTCCCAGACCTGGCAGCTTGCCTTCTCACTTTCCTTTCCTCTCTCTCTCTGTTTCTCTCTGGTCAAATTAAAAGATAACAATAACATATTGAATTAAATAAATAAATAAATAAATAAATAATTCTTTCAAAAAAAAAGATGGATGTTGAAGGTTTACTTTGTGCTTAAAATGTTACGCATTATGAATTTTTATTTGTTTGTCTTTTGTTTTTGCCATAGGCATGTGCACTCACCAGAGAGAAACAGTGAGAGGGACAGTGAGAAATTATCCCCCAGGGAAAGTGGGCACGCCACAATTCCTTGTCCATTCTCCTAGAATTTTGGGCACACATGCACACAGATCCTGTATGATTTCCAAGCTGCTGGGTCCGGGATTTGAACCATGGGCAGCTATGTGGGAGTCCAACACTTTAACCACTATACCAGCTGCTGGCCCAAGAGCATTATGTTTTCACTAGCACACGTGAAGGAGGATTAGGGTCTTATGCTACTTCTTGTCAATGACTGCAGCCATATTTATTAATAATCCTTAAAAGATGTATATGGTGTGACTTGACTTATACGCACTGTATTCATGCTGAGAAAAACAATTGTGTGCAGTGTAAAGATGTACGGTGATTAAATATAAATTTTAAAAAGTAATACAAAATAAAATTGATAATAATAAAAAAGTTATGAGGGCTTCCAGCACCATTCCTACTTTGTTACGCAAGTTAAAAACAGCTGGCTAATTCAAGGACTTAATTATAATAAAAAGGAAGTTATGAGGCCTTCCAGCACCATTCCTACTTTGTTACGCAAGTTAAAAACAGCTGGCTAATTCAAGGACTTAATTAGCCAGATGCATTGTTTGTTTTCTGCAAACTGTGGTTGGTACTTCAAAGTGATGAAAGTGACTGATCACCTTGGAATACATTTACAGGATGACTGACTAGGATAAGTAATTATGATTAAACTGTATTTTTCAAGTGCAGAGTTTAACCTTTATATTGCCTGAAGTGAATAAAAATGAATAAACAAATTTAAATATACAGAACACCTAGGAACGTTGACCCATTTCCCTTGTGCTATGTGGCCCTGTCTGGTAAAGCTGAGGGTAACAAAAAGTTCAAGGTGCCCTTGGGGTATAATCTCTGCATTAGTTTTTAGAGGACAAAAGTTCAGGTAAGTGATACTTGAAACCTGCCTGTGATGGTGTTCTTTTTACCATTCTTCTTCAGGTGAAAAATTTTGAAGCTCAGTAGTTATGATGATAAATGAAAAGAAGTGACTGAATTCAAAATGTCCTCATTTCATTCAATTATCTTTAGTTAGATTCTTCCTAGTTTAGAAGGATGACCATTCCT